CGATCGAACAGGTGGAGCGCCAAAAGGTTGTGCTTGGGACGCAGAGCTTGAATGCTTGATTGACTGCTTGTGGTCACGTAAGCACAAACATACACAGCAAAGCCATGTACTTGTTCTGTCCATGATGTGGTCTGTGCCCGATTAGAACATTCCTAAGGTCATCTTCTTTGGCAGTACCCCTGCCATCAGGACGGGATGCTGTCTTCAGTCAATACGTGATGTGTGTGTATTTCAACATTTGTTGCCATGCTAGGACACACAGAGATGCCTCGAGGGCAAAAGCGACTTCAGAGACCCGTGGATGATGAAACAGATGCTGCAGGCTACATGGGCTAATTGGGGACTTTGATTTGCAACATACTATCCGTGCCAATCTATATAATTCTGGCCACTATTCTGTTTTGATTTTCGTCGCCAGGCCTGGCACACCGGCAGTACGTCGAGAGCATTGCAGGCACCGCCTGTCAGGGGATCATGAAGTCGTGTGTCTGTGACAGAGAGAAAAGAGAGAGAGAGAGAGAGAGAGAGAGAGAAAGAGAGGGCAGCTCCGAACAATCTTGTCTGACTCACAGCAAGTGCATTGCAGCAAATAGTGGCTTGAAGTGCATGACAAGAAACAAGCAGCAATTTACGATATTCTCGGCTTTCACATCCATCTCTCAGATGGCTTGTTGAAAAGTAGTTGTGATGGATGGACACAGATTCATGTCATATACCGATGGAGGGCATTTCCTCCAGCAGGGCTGCATCATGGCAGTTCGATCGTCTCCTCTACAAAATGTATGCAGCTTCTCTCCCCAGGGATTCTCGGCTGCATGAGTCCGCAGATTCCTGGATGTTTGCCTGATTTGATTTCTGCGATTCAATTCCGAGGCATTGGTCTTGGCTGTGATCTTCATATATTTTATCGATGATATTGATTTGAGCCAGGTGCCTGGCATGCAATTATAGGTGTATCTGTGTGCATATGAACTTCGCTCATCGCTTGTACAAAAGCGGATGGTGTTGCTTGTTGTTACTCGTTGGTCTGCTGCAGACATGGCGATTGGTGGAATATTTCGCCGGGGATGGGAATCTGACTTTCTGTGCTCGGATGCTGAGCTTCAGATCTGTGTCGTTGGATATTAAATGTGGAGGGAAATTCATGGACCTCCTGACGCC